AGCTAGATATAGCATGTCATTCTCCTCCCACACTCCCTTCTTCTCAGCCCCCCAAACTTGCAGTGAATTTAAGCAAATCCTACAAAATGAAATGCCCCTTTGCTAAAGATCCTATATGTCTCCAATCCCGCCTCCTGCCAAGTGTAGAGTCGGATAGGCAGCTGTTTGCCTTTAAATTTGCTCCTGGCTATCAAATTTAAAAGAGTATCATTGAAGTAAGTAATATTCTCATTTCTGAAATTAATTTTCCCCTCCCAGTCTCTCTCTCTCTTTTTGCCAGCACAGATTAAATGGTTCTTTCAGATCTGCAAACAATAAAGGATAAAATTATTTATAGGGAAATGAGGATGCTGTTTTATTGCTGGCTTATTGTTCCAGAACATAACAACATTTTATTTTCAAGCAGGAGAAGCTAGACCATGGGGAGAAAAGGGGGAGGAAGGAACAAAAACGTGAAGGGAGGGCAGGAACACACACACAAAACTCCTGCCATGTGTAACTGGTAGGACATTTACAATTTCTGTATGACAACTCACTGTGACGTCATAAATACTGAGTTCATGAATTTTATAATTCTAGTGAACTTCCCAAATGGGCCCAAGCAATATGCTTCATGTGGAGGGGCATAAAAGAAGCCAGAAGGTTGGAGATCCTTTGACCCAGCACAGAGCCCCACACCCCCTATTGCAGCTTCTTCCTCATGTGACATCTTCTTGAGGCCCTATTCAGGGGGCTGAAAATATTCGGGATATTCTGGATTTTAATCTTTCTCCTAGGCCAAACAGGGTCACTTGCTTTGCCCCCCTCAAGTGTCCTTAGGCATCTAAGCTCTCTCCCCATTCCCAGCTCACAGAGAGCTGTGTCCCCAGGTTCTCCCTAAGCCCCCTCCTCAGCTGATACTCAGCTGCTTGGAATAGAGGTGGGAGGCTTGGGTGCCAGCCCCCCAAAAGCCAGAAATGACATTTTCCAGGTGGAGCCGGAAGGGGGCTCAGGGCTGAGCGTGTTGGGGTAGAGATGTTTGGGGCCTATTTTACGTTTTAACCTTAAGTCAGAGAAGTGAATTGAGAAGCCAAACAAATGCCGATGTGAGAGTTTGTGTCTGCTGATGGTACAGCAATAAGTGACGTGCTGGTAAGGAAACGTCAGGCAGAAACCTGGAAAGAAAGAGGACGGAGGGGAAATGTGACATGAGTTAGCAGAGCCCCCCATATACCTTTCTTCTCTGTTTAATTGCAATAAAGCAAGAGCAGCGCGGGTAGGCTCTCAGCCTCTCCTTAGCTCAAAAGAGGAGTCACCAGTGCAGGCCTCCTAGGTGTTTGGGGGCAGTTCTCAGCAGCTTGACATGCCCCATCTGGCCTCTTCCTCCTTTCCCTCTCCCTGCTGACCCCCAGCTCCCTTCAACTGGCCAGCCTGGGCCCTGTCCCCAAAATATTAGCACCCCCAAATGGGATTCATTTTCGTGTTAGGTGTGTCAAATTTCACTTTTCTCCGTGCCTGAACTTTGAAAGGAGGAGTGTTCCTTTTAGGAATGTGGTGTGGGGGGGGGGGCAGGGGCAGGTATGTGCTCAGACAGCTTCCCCCATCATATCTATGGGAAACTGGAAGCCCCTTAGGTGAGCCATGCTTTGGTGTTTCCAAGCAGCATTCCCTGCATTCAGGGTCTCTGGCAGACCAGGAGGCTCTCTCTGCGATCTGATCCCTTGACTAGGAGTTCCATGGAGATCAAAGGAGCTTATTTACACACACAACACCAGGCATTTGGAGTAGAATTTTTTTTTTAATTTCTAAATTAAAAATTCTAATCCTAGACCAGTCGGACCAACTGAGCAGTCGCTCTAGAACAGCAAAGCCTTAACCAAATAGTGTGATTGTGAGGGGAGCTGAGTAATTATTGAAACTCGGCTTTCTCCGTAAGAGGGATTTTAGCCCTCGCCCAGTGGCACAAAAGGGGCCAGCGGGGCAACCGCTCTTCTCTCGCCCGGGAAAGTGAGAATTGGGGGTGGTGGGGGCAGGGTCGGGCAGCTGCGGGGTCGCCTCCAGGCAGCTGAGCACCCAGGCCAAGCGCTGAGGCCGAGCACTGAGTCCTGCGGCTCCAGTGCGTGGGTCCCTGAGCAGCCTCCGGAGGCACGGAGCTGTAGTTGCGGCGCGTCAGCCAGGAATGGAGTATGTGTATCTGTGTACAGGCTGGGTGAGTCACAAACATCCGCGCAGAGCTGGGGGATCTGGGGAGAGAGAGGAGACCCAGAGGACACAACTAAGGAGGACCTCTGGAAAATATTGTCCCCAAATAAAAATCCCAGATCTCATCCCACTCACTTCAAATATCCCTCCCCAAGACATTAATATATTTCCCAGAGCTGAGTGGAAAGCAAAAGCCAGCAAGGTGAGGCCTGTCCACGAACCTCTCCAGGCTGGGTCCAGTCCCACCCACCCTTTCCCCAGTTCAGAGCTCACAGGCCCCCCGGCCTTTCCCTGGCCCAAAGTAAGGCTGAAATGGGAGCTTTCAACTTGCTCAGGGAAATCCCCAAGTGCCCAGGCTGCAATGCCACCCTTATCCTTGGGGACTCCAGGCCAGTGACTCTACCCAACTCAGGTCCAAGGCGCAGGCAGTCAATTTCTCTCCTATAATTAGCACTATGAAAAGCTTGTGTTTTGCGTTGGGGAGGACTGGAGAAGCAAGTGGCAACTTTCCCCTTATATTCTTTTTTTGTGTTTTTTAAATTCTGTTTTTGAATCCACCAATTAAAGCTCCTCCGAAAGTGAAAATCTGCTGTTGACACCAAGCCCCTTCCGAATGCCTGATTCTGGAGGCCAAGGGGCCAGAGCAGAAGCAAGGAGACCTGCCAGCCTGATGAGGTTGGGGGGTAGTGTTTTCTGATTTCTCTAGGCTCGTTTTATAGAAACAAAGAACAAGTTCTCTCCCCTCCTTCCCAAGACTTGTGCATATTTACAGAGCACAACTGCAGTTTTAATAAAACATCTGTTCTTGCTTCTGCTGATGAGTTTCCATAATTGTTTTCAGACAAATTTAACAGGAAAATATAAATATATTTAGAAAAATCTAAGTCCCAGCTTTCTCCCTGTAGACAGCCCTTCTTTTGCCAAAAAAATAAAATTAGCATGAAATGGGAAAAGGAAAATATAATCCAATGTAGGGAAGATCGGGTTCATCTGACCTGCTCTCCCCCCTTGGAGCGAATCCTTTCAGCAAATTTCAGCTGCATTATTAAAGATCTAACTGAAAGAAGAGGGCTTCTTTCCTCAGGAATGAAAGGTAATGTGGAGGGAGTGTGCTGAAAATTAATTTTGCCAAAAGTCTTTAAGCAGTGGAAGAATTTATTTGTATTTGTTTCTCCTTCTCTCTCCCCTCCAGCATTTCTGCCTTTTTCACCCAGCAGCTGGTTTCTGTTCATTATAAATCGGCGAGACCTTTCAGTCTCTGCCCTCTGTTTAGGGACGTCATAAAACACTTAACTTTCCGGGACTGAGGCTCACATTCTGCCTCTCAGGTTGCCAGTCCCCCCCACTGCCTTTAGGCCCCAATAGAGAATCTCCCAACTTTGGGGCCCCTTTTCTCTCCAGACATGGTAGAGGAGGGGCTCAAGGAAACCTAGGCATCCTCGCTCTCGAGGGCTGTAGTCCATACTGCTCCAGAAGCCCCTTCTTCCTTCTAAGGTCCTTCCCTCCCCCACCTAGCCATAAAAAAGATTTTTAAATACATAGAAAATCAACACTCATTGAAAGCGAAACCTCATTAAGACATCCTATCTTCCATCATTCAATTTGTTGTACATTGCAACAATTTAATATCTTGAAGGAAATATCACTGGCATGATTTATCCCTCTAGCAATCTCTCTCTCTCTCTCTCTCTCTCTCTGAAATGGGGGGCAAGATTTTACTCTCTCTTCCCACCTCTTCTACTTGTTACACCACTACCCTCAGGGCAGAAAGGAGGCTGGGAACTCTGAGAGAGGCTACTTGTGTCCAAGGGTGCACTGACTTGTTCCCTAGCTCATCCCCCAGAGTACTCGTGCTGCTGTCTCTCCCCCACCTCTTGCCCTCCAGGGGGCCTGAAGCCTCAGCCAGCTGTTGGAAACCTCTGCTCAGGCACGCCATGAATTTGAAGACAGCTGGATTCCAGGGCAAAAAGCAACTCACATTGGTGTCTATGTTTGTGTACCTGCCAAGTCACCCCAAGATGAGATAACTCATCTCAAAAATTTTTTCTTCATTTAAAAATCCTCTACCCTTTCCCCTTCATTTCCTTGGGGAGAAGAAAGTGTGGTCTTTGAAGAGGAACCTTTATAATTATAGGAGTCTTTCCCCAGCCCTTCCAAATACCGACAAATTTCCATCCTTTCTGGAGGATTGGGGCTGTATTTCTAAAAACCAACACAAATTGTCTGGCAGGAAGACTCTTCAACCCCCTAACGAGGCTCATGTATTAACTAACATGTTGTCTCCACCAGCTCCTGCACACTGTCTGCTTTTGGGTTAGAAACTTTATTTTTCCCCCCTAGCGACACTCCAGGGAAACCTTAACGTTACAGAAGATGAATAAACGAGTTTTTTCCCAGCGTAGTCCCGTTTATGGCTTTATTGCTACCCATTGATTACTCCGCTTTGTTACACAGAAGGAAAAGATCATAAAATCCGGCGACATCCGGGTTCTTGTTATAGCCAGTTCCCCCCCCAACCCACCCAAAAATGGTGGGGGGAAATATGAGCTTTCACTGCTCCTTACGCACTCCCCATCACCCCTCTTTGTCAACTCAAAGCATTTTCAGCCTATATCACGATATTAAATTAAGTTTGGACTAATCAGGAGAAAACCCCCATCTGCACACTTTCCGCTGTTTCAGTTCGCTACTGCGGCTCCCTCACAAGCCTCGGATTTAGCTGCCTTTTTGTAACAGTATCTTCCTTTTTTTTTTTTTTTTTTTTTACCCCCAAGGTGGGAAAAAATAGGGATTGAGGCTGTTGGGAGGCCCATCCCCACCAGGAGTAACTAGCACTTGGGCTAGCTAGAGCTCCCTAGAACCCCTTTCTGAAGTCTCCAAGCCACATAGCTCAGGTCCAGGGGCGCCTCCACTGGCAGTGCCCTGAGTCTGGAGGGGGCAGGGGGCTTCTGACCCTTGCAGGGGCTTGAGGCTACAGGAAGCTAACTGTCCATCAGAGCCCCAGCAGCCTTCTCTTTCTGGCTGGATCCTATGTGAATTAACCCACCGGCCCTCGCTGGCTCCAAATCATAAATTCTCACCAACATAAACAGGAGTTGATGTCTCTAGAAAGATTCTCAGAGTTTTCGTTCTTCTTCCTTTCTCTCTCTCTCTCTGTGTCTCTCTCCACTCCGGTTCCACCTCCCTACATTTTGCTTCTTTTTCTCCTTTTTCTATTGGATTTTTATACATTTTCCCTTTTAGGTAAAAATGCTGGAAGAGTTTTCCCAAAAGAGGGGTCCTGAGGAGGAGGCAGAAGAGGGCCAGGATGCAGAGGAAAGCAGATGCATGGGCCCTTTGCCCACTTAAGCTCTGCCACTGTACCCTGAAGTCTTGCCCCTTTAGACCTAGCTGTTCCCCACATCCCTCCTGCATTCAAGACTCTGGGCCACACTCTACTTACTCAGGGGAACAGGTTTAAGGAAACTCCTTTCTACTTTTGATTTTTTTTAATTTTTGGAGAAAAAAATACTAGTTTAGTGATGGGACTCACTCTATGAAGCATCAAACCAGAATTTCCTGCAGGATTTCTAGGGACCTCCTACTGTGCTGGGAGGGAGTTCCTCCCATGGAGAAATCAGGATGTAATTTTAGAAGGGGGCAGATATAAAAGATGAAACCAGATTGCAAATACAGGGATTTCTCTAGCCCTGGCTCTGGCCACATCACAGCAAAGTTAGCTGGGGCTGAGAGCTTTCCCGGGAGGACAGCTCTCCTTCCTGTGTCCCAAGGCCCTGCTCAGGGACATGCACCCCTCCTTCACCACCAAACCAGTTCCCTTATATATATATATTTAAAAGAAATCCAAGTCTTACTTTCAAAGCACACACTTAGTCTCAACTAGGGAATCAACAGAAGCAGAGCGATTTTTTTTCCCCCTTCTTGACATCTGGCTTGCGATTGGCTGGGAGGGGGTCAGCTGACTTTGTCATTTTGTCTGTCCTGGATTGGAGCCGTCCCTATAACCATCTAGTTCCGAGTACAAACTGGAGACAGAAATAAATATTAAAGAAATCATAGCCCGACCAGGTAAAGGCAAAGGGATGAATTCCTACTTCACTAACCCTTCCTTATCCTGCCACCTCGCCGGGGGCCAGGACGTCCTCCCCAACGTCGCCCTCAATTCCACCGCCTATGATCCAGTGAGGCATTTCTCGACCTATGGAGCGGCCGTTGCCCAGAACCGGATCTACTCGACTCCCTTTTATTCGCCACAGGAGAATGTCGTGTTCAGTTCCAGCCGGGGGCCGTATGACTATGGATCTAATTCCTTTTACCAGGAGAAAGACATGCTCTCAAACTGCAGACAAAACACCTTAGGACATAACACACAGACCTCAATCGCTCAGGATTTTAGTTCTGAGCAGGGCAGGACTGCGCCCCAGGACCAGAAAGCCAGTATCCAGATTTACCCCTGGATGCAGCGAATGAATTCGCACAGTGGTGAGTTTTACAGCTCCGAGATATAAATTAAATAAACTGAACTGGCTTTATGACCGGCTTCCCTAGAAGAACGGGCGGAGAGAGTTTTTTATGGCCCCATAAAAACAATCACGCTCGTCTCCTCGCCGAGACAGGGCCCCCTCTTCTGCCCTCTCAGCTAGCCTCCCGCTCGCTTGCAGGGGCCTGGCCCCCTTGGCCCCTGACGGATTGGAGGGCTCCCAGGCGAGCTGAGGGGGCAGGAACAGGGCAGGGGATAAGGGGGTGAGGAGAAGATGGGGGAGTCCCCCAAAGTGGAGTCAGGCTGAAGAGAAGGGAGGGGGAGAGGAGAGGCAGAAAAGTGGGGAGAAGTTTCCAAGGCGCTAGGATGCTTGGGGAGATGGGAGAGCCCTGTCCTTAAGAAAGGGGGCCCTCATTCCCATTATTTGGGATTTTTCAAAAATCAGCTTTTAGACTTGCAGCTTTCTGTTTGCCTTTTGCCCCGCCCCCCAACCCACCCCACACACCTTTCTTTGGGACACACACTTCCCACCTTATGGGAGGTCTGAATGAAGTTGGGGTCCTGGCGGTACCCCCAGTGGGGGTGGGGCAAGGCAAAAGGGAGAAGGCTAGAGCCCTAGGGGCCCGTGAGCTGCTGGCCAGGTTGAGAGGGTGAGGACTTTGCTAGGGGAAATAGTCTGCGGAGGACGCCTAGCTGATTGTTTTTAGTGTGTTTTGTGCCCGGATCTTTAGGGGTCGGCTATGGAGCGGACCGGAGGCGCGGCCGCCAGATCTACTCGCGGTACCAGACCCTGGAACTGGAGAAGGAATTTCACTTCAATCGCTACCTAACGCGGCGCCGGCGCATCGAGATCGCCAACGCGCTCTGCCTGACCGAGCGACAGATCAAAATCTGGTTCCAGAACCGCCGAATGAAGTGGAAAAAAGAATCTAATCTCACGTCCACTCTCTCGGGGGGCGGCGGAGGGGCCACCGCCGACAGCCTGGGCGGAAAAGAGGAAAAGCGGGAAGAAACAGAAGAGGAGAAGCAGAAAGAGTGACCAGGACTGTTCCTGCCACCACTCCCCCTTTCTCCCTCGCTCCCCACCCCAACTCTCCCCTAATCACACACTCTGTATTTATCACTGGCACAACTGATGTGTTTTGAGACCCTAAAACAAAATTAGGGAGTCAAACGCGGACCTGAAAGTCAGCTCTGGACCCCCTCCCTCACCGCACAACTCTCTTTCACCACGAGCCTCCTCCTCCTCGATCCCTTGCTAGCTCGTTCTCGGCTTGTCTGCAGGCCCCTTTCCCCGCCCAGGCCTTGGGGACTCGGTCCCTGAACTCAGACTCTACAGATTGCCCTCCAAGTGAGGACTTGGCTCCCCTCACTCCCTCAACGCCCCCACCCCCGACCCCCGTGCAGAGGGCCGGCTCCCGAGCCTGGGGCCTCTGCTCCGGGGCCTCAGGGCCCAGCCTCGCAGCCGGGGAGGGCTGGAGACCCAAGGAGGGCACGCCTTGGCCCCACACCGACCCCCAGGGCCTCCCCGCAGTCCCTGCCCAGCCCCTCTGCCCCAGCAAATGCCCAGTCCAGGCAAATTGTATTTAAAGAATCCTGGGGGTCATTATGGCATTTTACAAACTGTGACCGTTTCTGTGTGAATACTTTTAGCTGTATTTGTGGTCTCTGTATTTATATTTATGTTTAGCACCGTCAGTGTTCCTATCCCATTTCAAAAAGGAAAAAAAAAAAAAAGAGGGAAAATTACAAAAAAAAAAAAAAAAAAAAAAAAAAGAGGGAAAATTACAAAAAGAGAGAAAAAAAAGTGAATGACGTTTGTTTAGCCAGTAGGAGAAAATAAATAAATAAATCCCCTCGTGTTACCCTCCTGTATAAATCCAACCTCTGGATCCGTTCTCGTATATTTAATAAAACTGATATTATTTTTAAAAGTTTATACCGGGAATTCTGTTCATTCGCTCGCCCGCCGGCCTCAGGCTGAGAGCTGGAGCAGGCTCCAAGCGCTCCCGCGCCTCCTCGCCGCCTGCAAGTCCCCAGCCCTCAGCACTCGCCATCCCCGGAGCCAGGCGCCTGGCCCCGGCCTCCTGTTCGTTCTCGCGATCGCACTGACGGGCTGGGAGGCCTCTCTGCGCTCCCTGCGCGGAGCAACACACACGACCTGCGAAAAAAGCCGCGTAGGATTTTGTTGCGGGGAAAAACGGGATCAGTCGGCTTGGGCACGAGCCCCACGCAGGCCTCCCTGCCTGTGGCAGCCGGGGTCCTCAGCGTCCGAACCCCGAGGCCCCCCGAAAGACCAGTAAAGAAGCACTATCCAGGCACCAGGGTCGCCTCCGCCCACTCCCGGGAGCTGGAGGCGGGGGGCGCCGTGAGAGCAAGCCCCAGGCCCGCGCCAGGCTGGCTGTTGCGAAACGTGGCGGAGGCGGAGAGCGGAGGGAAAGAGAAGACCGAGGGACTGGAGCCCTGTCGGCAGGGATTGAGCGATTCAAGGACATCTCGAAAGAGAAAGCCTGGAAACTGAGCTCCAGCCTGATCTGGGACTCCTGACGTGGCCGGGACAAAATTCCTCCTTCATTACAGCTCCAGCCGAGCTGGTTCCTGACTCTTCTCTCCTCTATCGGGCAAAGAGGCGGGTGAGGAGCGCAGCCGGACCCTAACTATTTATCAGCCCTGGCCTTCTCTCCCCAAGCCTGGCCAGAGAAACCTGAGTGGGCCTACGGGGAGAGGTGTTGAGAGGGGTCTCCGGGGGGAAAAAAATCCACCAGAGTTTTCCAGGCCTTTCAATTCCCTCCAGCGCCCCCCACCCCTCGCCTCTAGTGCCTCCACCAGTGAGGAGGGGGCCTTCTCCTGGCAGGGGCGGAGATTTCCTGGGAAGAAGCAGGCAAGAAAGTCTGAGACTTGGGGCTACAGGGGGAAAGGAAGGGGCCGAATGGCTGCAGACACCCTGTGAAGGCTGCCCAGGCGCTTGCCCTGCCCACCCCCAGGTCCGCCCCATTACTCCTAGTAGCTCAGAAATTCCTCTCCTGGAACTTAGGATTCAGGTTCCTGGAAAGGCTGGCCCAGAGACCTTTTCCCCAAATGGCACAAAACAGGCCTTTTCCTCTGCCCTTTTCCTCTGCCGTGCTCACGTAATATTTGTGGAGGCTTGAATCTTGTTTTTCCATGCCCTCAATTTAGACATCTATTTTCTAAAACCTCTGGCATAGGTACCACATAAGGATTCCACGCAGGGAGACAGAGTAGTCCTCTAGACCATCGTCTGGCTCTGTCCGTGTACACACACACACACTTGAAAATTGCCTTGTTGCCACTCTGGGGACCCTAGCATGGTGAGGTCTAGTCAACTCCACCTGGCCCCTCACCTCCAGATCCATCCCTGACGGCCTGCAGCACCCTCAGCCTCATCACCCCCATATCTTGTTCTAACCACTCAGGATCCCTCCTCCTGGGCGTCTTGTCTATCTTGTCTACCTCTCTAGAGGCGAATTCTACTTTCTCATGATGGGCACCTCTTCAGCAGTGGTGGGGCCTTAGGGCCTGCGAGGCAAGGGACTTCTGCCTTTGGTTTAGGGAACCTAAGTTTAAACCCCATTGGTTCTCCAGTCTGGGCATGGGCCGCCCTACCTAACTAAATCCCTTTTCCTCAGCCATTTTTGAAGATTGGAAGACCATGGAGGTTGGGAGAACGGGGCTATCCATTACAAAAAGCACTCTGTACACAACAAGTGGCGCCTCATCTTTCCCAATTTTAAATAGAATTTTAACGGCTAGCTCAGGGGTTGCCCCAACAGCCAGCTTCTCCTTGCAGGGTAGGAAATCCAGCCACAGGAAAACGAGCTGGCGCTCCAGGATGCAATTCCCCCATATAGGCACCAGGTGTCGCTGTGGGCTTGTTGTCCCGGCTACCCCCAATTCCAAGAACCATTTTTTTTTCCTCCCCCTTCCCTCTCTCTCTCACTCCCTCTCCCCCTTGGTTGGGCTTTGCCAACATATCGAGATGCGTTTCGCCGGCTTCCATCACTAACCTCCCGGAGGTCATCAAGCCAAATTTATGAGTGGTCGCTTGAGTCACGTGACTCTATTTAAGGCTCCCTTATTTGGGAAGAGCGCATAGGATAAAGAAAGAGATATCTCCACCTATAAATTGTGCACTTTGGAGAACAAAAAACCCCTCAACTTCAAAGAGTCACAAATCACCCTTAATCAAAAAGGGTGCAGAAATTTTTTTGGGCCCTCCCCGCCATGAGCTCCTACGTAGCCAATTCATTCTATAAGCAGAGCCCCAATATCCCTGCCTATAACATGCAAACTTGTGGGAACTATGGATCGGCCTCAGAGGTGCAGGCATCCAGGTACTGCTACGGCGGATTGGACTTAAGCATCACTTTCCCACCGCCTGCGCCTTCCAACTCTCTCCACGGGGTAGACATGGCTGCCAACCCCCGGGCTCACCCCGACCGCCCCGCCTGCAGCGCCACGGCCGCTCCGGGACACGCTCTGGGCAGAGACGAAGCGGCTCCTCTGAACCCCGGGATGTACAGTCAGAAGGCGGCTCGCCCGGCGCTGGAGGAGCGAGCTAAGAGCAGTGGGGAGATCAAAGAGGAGCAGGCGCAGACAGGGCAGCCCGCCGGACTGAGCCAGCCACCGGCCCCGCCACAGATTTACCCGTGGATGACCAAACTGCACATGAGCCACGGTAAACTTTAGGACTTCATTTTGCGCGCTCGGGTCCGCCTGGGTTTTATAGGCCATGCGGGGCAAATAAAGAAAAAAAACCTGCGGCCATAAATTTTACGATCCAGGCATCAATGGCTCGTAAAACTGTCCACTAAAAGGCTTAGAGGCTGTGTGCGCCCAAATTTACGACGACATAATTGGATCATAGGAACAAAACGTGTATAAAAGGCAATATTCAATTTTTGGGGGAGAGGGAGGGAGTTAAAAAAATAGAGGGATCTGAAGGGTGAGGAGCGCGGGGCTCCAGAGCGGGGATCCCCCCGCAGCTCCCTCCCTCCCTCCCCTGCGGAGCCGGCTCTGCCGGTGCTCGCGGCTCCGGAGGATTCCAGCGACTCGGGAGGGGTGGGAGGGGGGTCCCCGGTGCTCGGATCTCGAGGGTGCTTATTGTTCGGTCCGAGCCTGGGTCTCCCTCTTCCCCCCAACCCCACCTCAGCCCCTCCGGCTGCAGAGTGAAGGCTGCGGTGGAAAGTTTCCTGCCTGGGCGGAGGCGCCTCTCCCGGGGTTGGGCTGGGCTGGGCCCGCCCGCCTGCGGCCAGCGCGGCCTGTCTTGCGGCTTTCGCCTCCTCTTCCTCCGGCCGCTGGTGGGGGCCTGGGGCTGGAGTGGGAACGGGGGAAACGCTGCACGCTATTCACCCCTTCCTGGGTTGGGGTGGGGTTTATGTTCCAGAGACGGACGGCAAGCGGTCCCGAACCAGTTACACGCGCTACCAGACTCTGGAACTCGAGAAAGAATTCCACTTTAACCGCTACCTCACTCGCCGCAGGCGCATAGAGATCGCCAACAACTTGTGTCTCAATGAGAGACAGATCAAGATCTGGTTCCAGAACCGCAGGATGAAGTGGAAGAAAGATTCCAAAATGAAAAGCAAAGAGGCTCTTTAGAGGCAGCGGGGGAGGCCCGCATAGAGCGCCCCTAGCCGGCTCCGGTCCCTGCGCCTTTCCTTTTCGCCTTTCCTTTCTATATTTCGGGGCGGGGGCAGGTGCTGGAGCACTGGGCTTCCGGGCCTCACAGACAAAAGCGCTTTTCCTTGGCATTCCGCATCCCCACCGACCCAGGGTTCCCGCAGGGCTGCCCACGCTGCCCCGTCTCCCCTCATCTCGGCTCAGCTTCGTACCCGGGGCCCAGGGCAAGATCCGCAGGGCTTCCCCGGAGGGCTGCGACGTACAGGCTGGCGCTGAACGAACCTTGGCCTGGGCCATCTCTCCCGGCTCCCAGCCCCAGCGCGGCCCTCCCAAGTTAAGGTGGGCCCGGCCGGCGCCACAGGACCCTCGCCCGACCCTCCAGCTTCGCCCTCTCCTTTGTTCCCGGCTGGGCGGGTTAGGCAGCCGCAGGCTGATGAGAGTCTGGCCCCAGACTCGGGGTGCTTTCTTGTAGCAACTAAACTAGATTTTCACTTATTAATTATTTGCATATGAAAAAAGAACTGAACATCGGCCTAGGGCCGCCTGGGTTGCTCTATGCATTCCAAACCTTATCCCCACAACCGCACCCTCCCAAAACCCGGGAACCTCCCCAGCCTGCGCCTGCTGCATGCCCTCTCAGGCCGGCAGCCCCAGCCTGCTAGCTAGCTCAACGTTTGGGGTTTCCTGACACTGGACCCCAGCAAGTGGTCCTAGAGGCCCTTTGCTGTCCCATAGTCCCTGCCACGACTTTCTGTGCCCTCCTGACCCATTGCTGTTGTTCAACTATTTATTGACTCTGGGTCCTTCCTGAAACTATATTTTGTCATATCAAATAAAGACGAAGAGAACAGGACTAAAGATGCAGTAGCTCCTGTCTGTTTGGGGCATGTACTGGGTAAAAATTGTCTAAATGGGCCGTGAGGTGTAGACAGAGACCTACAATCTTTAAGCCTCCCCTTTAAAATTTTTTTTAGCTTCTAGGGGCAGTGAGTAGAGAGAGGTGAAATTGAGTTCTTTTCCTGACCCTTGGCTCCAAGAAGAGCCTCTGGGAAAAAAGGAGGGCACCTAGGCCTCGGGTACTGGCTTTTCCAGTGCTATCGCTGTCCAAGGCTTCAGGCCTCTGCACTCCATGAGGCCTCTGGACTGGCAGCAGCCCCCACTGTATGCCAAAGCTCCTCTGCAGAGACCAGTGGCTCCGCCACCATGCTCAGCCTCAGGCCCTTCTGGGCCTCTGAAGATCTTTTCTGGGTGTAAGTGGTCCCTCAGAGGCCTCGCTGACATAGAGGGAGAGGGACCCATTTGGTCCCAGAAGGGCCTCTAGAGAGAGTTGGCGTTGCTTGGTAAGGGGATATTGGAAAAGTTGGAGGGGCTGTGCTTCAGTATCTAAGAATCTGGGGATGAGGGAGCAGGGAGGACAATCAGCCTGGCAGGAAATGTTCAGACTGTTTCCTCCACCTTCTAGGGCCTAGGGCTATGCAGCACAATTAACTGAGAAAGGAGCTGCATAGACCAGTGCTAGAGTCACGTCTGTTTGCCATCATTTATCTCAGTCTCTGGGATTTTGTGTGGAGGGGAGGATGGGTTAAAGGTGGGGGCGGGGGGAGGCAGATTATTCAGGTAGTGTCGGAGGCTCAGGTCCTTCCCCAGGCTCCTGGGATGGGCTGGGGGAGGAAGCACTTTGCAGTAGAAACAAATGTGGGAAGGGTCCATAAAACTTTACTGCATTTCCTCTCCCACCTCCCACAATGGGGTGATTTCCTGGAGCCAAGCCTAGGCCCCCCACACTGGTGGCGTGGGGGTCTAGAGCTGGGCTAAAGGATTGCACCAGCAGCCAAGAAGAAAGTGAAGCAGAGAGGCTCTGGGGAGGGGCAAGGGAATATTTATGATTATTAATGCTGATGCTCCCTGGATTTATTATAAGGACTAACTTCGCTGCATCCCACTGCCTAAGCTACCCGTCTGTCCATCATTTTTTAAAAGACTCAAGAGCCTTTCCTCACCCCATGCCTGGCATGTAGGAGGTCTCAGCAAATGTTTATTGGGCAGTGCCCGCAACTACCACCCTTCCCCTTCGCACTGCACTCCGCCAGGTTAGGGCGCCTGCTGTCTCCTCAACTTGCACACCGCAGGCAGCTCAGACCAGCACTCATTCTCTTCCCTTCTCTCCCTCTGAAATAAAATGTGTAATTTTCTTCAGGGAGTTATTTTAATTTTTTCTCCATGCTGAGTAAAACTATTGGGCGAGCAGTGAAGCGTGGAGAAGCATTGGCGTCTCTGGTGGGTAACAGTTAACTAAGAAAGAGGCTGTGGCGCCCACACTCACCCGCTCCAGCCTCCCAGCTGCCCAGGCCCACTGCCTCCTCTCCAGGGGTCTGGTGTACCACTGTTGGAGGAAAACCCAGGGCTTTGCCATGGATAGGGGCTACGTGGGTTAGAGCTGCCAGGCAGGGCACACCAGCCCCACGGTGCACTGACTGCCTCCTCCCGGCAGGGTTTGGGCCTTCCCTGGAGGGGCTGAAAGTCTGACTCATTTTGGCCAGCCTTGGGTAGACACAGCGTGCCTGCTTGCTCTCCCCGTTCCTGTCACAATCTGCAGGTCTCTCCAGGCCCCAGCCTCGGCTTCTGCAGCAACAGCGGGCAGCAACCAAGCCAGAGGCCTCGGACCTACTCCCCTGCTCTGGGGGTGCGTCAGGCCCAGATCCTTGCTTTCTCCCTGAACAGGGGCTTCTGCTATGTGGCCTGGGGTAGTTTCCCCACCAGCCAGCCTCCTAGAACAATCTCCAGGTACCAGGGACTGGCGTTGCTCTGGGAGGGGCATGGAGGGGGCTTCTGGGTTCCAAACGGAGACCATGGAGCCTGCCTCTCCACTTTGCCCTGGAACCCACCCCCTCTGGCAGCGAGAAAGAAGGGGAAGAAGCGTGACTTACCTTCCCGGGGGAGTGGGAAGAGGGGGACACGGCCCACTCTGAGCAATTAGAGGAGAGAGGAGGAAAAAATAAGAGGACAAAAATATCAACACGACCTCGAAGGCGACAGGTCCTTATGGAAATAAGTAAGTAAATAAATAAATAAGGATCCACCCTCTCCCCCCTCTCCACCCTGCAATGGGGGTGTGGGGGTGGGGCAAAGGAACAGCACGAGGGCTTTTTAGTGTAACTGAGCATTAGAGAAATAGGCATGGCTTCTATGTGAATTTAGGAGTTTGAAACTTTTGGAGGTTATTTATGTGAATGGCCCGAAGGCAAGCCCGTGAGTGGCTCTTGGGGGACCACGTGATGTCATTAAACCAAGTTTTATGGTGTAGGGAGAGCTGACAAACCCACAATATATTTACATCATATATAATCTTAACTGTCCAGCCACGCAGCTGCTGGTGAGGTTTAATGCTAGGACAGAGGGCCTGGCAGTTAGAGGGGATTACGGCGCTGGGAACGATGGTGAGAGAGGTTACATCTTCGCAATTGAATCCCAGGCTAACGCTGTGAGTTAATTCTCTCTTTCTCTCTCTCAGACCCTTTCTCCCATTTACCTAACCACCCCCCCCTTTCACTTGATAGAAGGCAGCTCCCACTCATTAAGGGGAGGGGGAAAAAGGCCTTCCCAAGCTGGGGTGGGAGAGGAGAGGAGAAGAAGCCGAAGAAGCCGCTGGGAAGTAGGAAGATGGGGGAGCTTGTCTACCCAGAGCAGCCCTTCCCTCCCCACTCCTTATTCTCTCTGACTGCAAGTCAACTGGGGTAGAGAGGCCTTGGTTGTTTGGAGTTTTCCCAGGTCTTCCTGACCCCTTTCAGCTGAGAAGAAAGCAAGCGGCAGGACAAGGGTGCTTGGTGTCTGTGCGGGTGTGTAAACTCTAGAAACAAGCGCAAAATGCCTCTAGGGCCCCCTGTTCCAGGGAGGGGTGACTTCAGCCCTTGGCCAGTGGCCCAGAATCCAGGCAGGGTGGAAAGCTGGGGAGAAAGGGAGGGATGAAGGGTTTTGTGGCTTCTGAACCCACAGGCTACCGCTGCCTGAACTGGCAGAAGCATCTCAAAGGTGGCTGTTTGAACCCAGAGGTCCCAGAGTGCCCCCTCCCTCCCTCAACACCCGGCTTGGATGTGCAGCTGTCTCAGCCTCCGTAGTCTGGCATCTTAGTCTGTCTGGAGCCAGTGTGGTTTCATGCTTCCTCCTCTCCCTCTAGCTGCTTTGGTCTTCCTGGCACTCCCAGCCCTTGCCTCAGATAAAACTAGGCCCTAAGAGGCCTAGAGGTTCCTGCTGTGAGTAGAGTGTAATTGTGTGTTGAATGGGTGAGGGAGCAGAGGCAATGTCTTTGCTAGGCTGGGAAAGTAAGTCCCCCAACCTTAAGGAGAGAGTCGCCCCCTCCCCCCATGGAGCTAGCAGGACCCAATCTGAGCACTGCACCCTGGGGTCAATCGTCAGGCTAGGGCACCCTTCAGGCTTCTAGGAAGGAGCAGCAGAAGTGTTGGGCATGGGAGGCACGTGTCTTCCACACCTGCGAGTGCTACCCCTCCCTGTGCGTCGCTGGGAGCTAAGCCAGGAAAGTGACAACATGTGAATTCAGGCTCCTCTACCGGCCAGCCACGAATAGCCAGGGGTTTAGAAGCAGGGCAGAAGGCCAGTGGACCCATAAGGGCAATTCCTTTAGGCTGGGAGAATGGGGTGGGGAACAGAGGGAGTGAGCCAGGTCTGCACCTTCCAGAAGAGGGGTACGCCTGGGGAGCTGGGGTGTCTGGACACCTGCTTTGTGGAGAGGTGCTGTTGGGGGATGGGGAGGGAATGCTGTTAGCCTCACTTCTGCTGCCCAAGGGACTGAGGAAGAAGCGAAAAGCAGATAGAGAAGGAAAACCCAGGCAGACTCTGGGAAAATAAAGGGGGCACAGAGGCCCCCCAAAATGGGGAGTTTTAGCCGAGCCTCATCCTTCCCTCTAGCCATCTTTCACTTGCAAGAGGAGCTTGAGTACCCGACGTGGAGGATTCACTTGAGGCCATCCCTCAGGACCTCCATCTCGGGTTAAGATTCAGCCTCCCCCACCCTCCTCCCTGACACCTTTATTTCCCTAGGATCCCAGGGAATTATCTCCAGCAGCGCACTGGAAAAACTAATTATCAGTTTCCCCCTTCCTCATTACCCGTCCTTCTTGGCTCTTTTCTTCCCTCAAGTCTGTGATTTTGAAGGTTTCTGGAAACTTTCCGATCCAAGCAGCAGGGAGATGGGAGTTTCTCTTGGTCTACAACTTGACTCTTCCCCTCCGTCCAGCCTCCCCAGGGCACTAGGGAGCGAGTGCAGTGGTCTTTAACCGGGAATTTAGCCAGAGCCGAAAACCCACACCCAGGCAAGATTCTACCGCCTACGCTGACTCCTGGCCAAATCTCAGTCCCATTCCCTTCTTCTCTGTGTAGACCGGCACTCGAGGGTGTTTACAGATTTTACACAGCGTCTCTTGAGCCCTTTGACGACTTCTTCACTCCCTCTTCTGTTCTTTAGGCTCAGAAGTTCTATTTAAATATCACCTCTCTTCCTGTGATAATTGATCCTCCTTCCCCTCAAATAGTTTGCCTTAGTCAGTTTTTTCCTATTGTGTAAAAACAGTTTCTAGTTCCACCTGGAAACAGGGCTGACACAAAAGGGGCCTGAAATTCTTGGTCCCCCACCCCGCTCCCCTTCCCCAACCCGAATTTAGAGTCTCCTTGGAGCGGAGGATGGGCAGGCAATCAGGTGCCAAGCTTTCCAGCCAACGCGGAAAGCTGGTAATCTTGTTCCTAGGTCTTTAACCCTAGGAGAGGTCAAGCCACCAATCCGAAATGCACTAAGCAGAGTCACATGGTCCCCACCAACCAATCAGCAAAAAGTACTTCTGTCTGTCTCACTCTTCACATCTGGCCCTCTTCCCTCCCTCCCTCCCTTCCCAGCGCCGCCTTAGCTACTGGGTCTACCCTATCTCAGATTTGGAAGGCTGGAGTGATACTGAGCATATTCTAGCCTCCTTTCTCAGTCCCTGAACCAGCTCTGAGGAGTCTTTGGCTTGTCTCCTCAGTTTCCAACAAAGTTGTAGGGGCCGGGCGCGGTGGCGCAAGCCTGTAATCCCAGCACTTTGGGAGGCCGAGGCGGGTGGATCACGAGGTCAAGAGATCGAGACCATCCTGGTCAACACGGTGAAACCCCGTCTCTACTAAAAATACAAAACATTAGCTGGGCATGGTGGCGCGTGCCTGTAATCCCAGCTACTCAGGAGGCTGAGGCAGGAGAATTGCCTGAACCCAGGAGGCGGAGGTTGCGGTGAGCCGAGATCGCACCATTGAACTCCAGCCTGGGTCACAAGAGCAAAACTCCGTCCCAAAAAAAAAAAAACAAAAACAAAAACAAAAAACAAAGTTGTATCTGGGAGTCAATTGCACAAGGATGTGAGGCTGTGGAGGTAACCTCTGAATTATTTCCACGTTCGCCAGCGTGATTCTACCCAATTTTTCAAGTGTTGTAGATGTAGACTCCAAATTAGGCTATAGAGCAAATGCGGATACGAACTTCAGCCCTGAATTCAAATTCTGGCTGTGATAATTCCCCATATACTTATTTTTACAAGTTTTCATTCTCTTCTGATTTTCGTCAGGGCAAGTGGGGTGATTAGAGGAGAGCCCTTTTGATTTATCTTTCTGGAAATGTTCCAACAGCCATTAGATTTATCAGACTACCTCAGGCATGGTTAGGGAAGGGAGCAAAAGTGGAGATTTTTTTGAAAGTTGGGTTTGGTACCTTTCACTTGTCAAATAAGTTTGAGCTAGTTAAGGGTTCTGGAAAGGAATGAGTACAGAATTGCAACTTTCCTTACTCTCCGTGTTAAATAGTTGATGAATTTGTTGAAACCCCTTCCCCTTCCATTCTTTTAACAGGATGTAATAATAGTAATATTATTATTAGACTAAGTGATGAGCCTGTGTCCTGGCCAATAGCCATCAAAAAGTACAGCTACTGAAGTTGTGGATTTCAGTGTGTGAATTTACATGGATTAGGCCAAGAACAAGCAATAGGCAAGAAACTCTTTCTGAGTAAGAGCATCTGATGGCACAGGGTGTGCACATGTGTGACAGAAACACTTGTGTTTCCTGAATACTTGCACTGGGCCCTGAGCCAGTTCACTGCTGGGTCCAGACCCAGACATTCTCCCCCAGCTCCTTCTCCAGAGTTTTGGTCCAGGGTGAATTTTCTGGTTGAGTTCTCCTCTCCTTCTTTTCCTGATCTCTTGCCCTCTTTGAGCTAAGGGGCAGGAGTTCTGATGGACTGCGCCACCTGGACCTCTAAGCCCTCCCCTGGGAGCATTAAAAGTGCAAGAATGGGAAGCATAGCCCAGACTGAGCTAGGCTTTGTCAACACCCCTACCCCTTGTTTGTCTTCTGGGTGGAGCTGGTTTGGGAACAATGCCACAAGCCAGGTGGGAAGAATAAGAAGCCAGAAAGAGCAGAGAGAACAACTCTTCTCAGAAACCATTGAGCCCTCCTTCCCAAGTTACCTTCAACCACACTGCTCCATTTGCCTCTTTTATGAGTTAGAGTTAAAGGACACACTCATTTTTTCCCAGTGAATGGTGTAGCAGCCTTGTTGGAGACCAACTTTCACCCTCAATGTGGGCTTCTCACACTGGGGTGCCAGATCCCATGAAGGGTTAGGAAATAAAGGTGGGGAGATTGGTTCTATCCACACAGGCACTGGGAAAAGAGATTTTATCAGTGTGCCTCAGCCCCTCCTAATATCCAAGTAAACTTTCTCTTTTTTACTATTTCCCTCTGTCTCTAACTGCTTTGGGCTGAGTTTTTGAGACGGGGAATGCTGAAACATCATTGTTCTAGGATTTAATTGGGTCCTTTTTGCTGAGAAGACAAACACCACCACTCTGAGCCTCTTCTTTAGTGGAACTAGGGCCCCTTTAGCCCTTTGAGGTGAAGAAGAAAGAAAATCTGAAATCAGGACGTCAAGCTAGGGTTTTGAGGTGAGGGATTCAATTTAAGAAGACTAGACTGAGAGCCAAGAAAGTCACATCCTTTCCCATCTCTCCCCACTTTTATTGGCTTCTTGTGACCCATAGTGGTGTGTCTGTTCTGATAATATCTCAGCTGCTTTGATGGGGCCACAGGAGCCCAGGGAATTAATTGCCAGACAAGGTCTGGGCTGAGGAACTTGGGTGATAGAGATCTCTTTGTTTTTGAGCCCTACACAACCCTTGTAATCATCTCCTTCTCCCAATCTTAAGACTCACTCAGGGGAAAGGGGGAACAGAGAAGCCCCAGAGGAAGGGGTATGGGTATGCCACGTGGAACTTGAGAAAGTTGAATTCAGTTATGCAGGACCTTGTTCAGCCTCTAAGGACCACATTTTAGAAGCTATGACAAGAGGCTCTGGGCATGCTGGGAAGCCAGTACGGGAGAAGACTGCTTCTCTACACCTGCACACATGTACAGAGAAAGTTCTACAGTGATGTGAACCCCATACAGGCT